AGCGTCAAGAATTCCACACTTTTTAGGCTTGTATTTCCTCAAGTCAGTTGTTTCTTCCAACTTCGCGCATGCACACCAAATACCAGAAAGTTTGCTTTGGGTTACGGTTGATTACCATAAGAGTGCATGCAAATTTTAAGTGACGAAGATAACAAATTCAACGTGTTAGCATTGTTTAAGTATATAGCCTATACATCCTTAGTTATTAATCCGATTAGGTGATCAATCGGATTCTTGTCATTCACGTTTTGGTGTAAGAGAGCTCGCCTGTCTCCAGTCTCTGAATTAATTTGTTCGAAACTTCGGACGCCACAGTCTCATCAACTCAAATTGAAGTCGACAATGAAAAACGTATGTGTTCATCAGTTATTTGCAAAAATATATAGTTCAATGTTGAAGATTTAATAAGAGATAAAAATATATTCTGTTGTGCGCGAATTGTGCGATCGGCGATTAAATTAAACTGCACTCAAACGAAGCTGAATTGTTTATAGTATGCATGTGAAAAAATAAAACTGCTTATAGCATTGTGAACCCGTCGATCTTCCCTCCTGGTAGAAAATTAAACAGGCAAATTATCGAAGGAGAAACTGTTTAACAATCGTGTCATGTAAAATGAATTATGCAAATGATCGTTTTCAAAGGTACAAAGTGGCTTGAATTAGAAGTGACATGATATGTCAAGGTTTCAAGTTTAATTTTCTACTTGGAGAAAATTTACTATACTTTCAGTTTCATCCGTTTCTTAATTTTATAATTCGTATGAAAGATGAATAGATTCGAGTGTGCTTCGTGATTGGTCTTTGTGCGACTGGTCGCGAAAATCGATGAAAAAACTTGTGAAAAATTCGTGCCTTCCCTTCTAAACATTTCCCACCATCTTTCAAGAGATGATCAATTAATTATTCGTATTAAAGTGAAATCCAATGATGCGTTGAGATCGTTCACGACCCTATCGCTTCGAATCTTTTAGCAACAAAGAAAAATGTGAAGGTCCGCACGGTAAAAGATCGCGAATGTGTATATAAATTTGCAATTAAGATCAAATGAATTTAAATAAAAATATATAAAAAAACTGTAACTCTTCGAATTACGTGAATAATAAATAAAAAAGTAATTAATATAAATAACGATATAAATAAACAGGGATATGCAGAAACATTTCTGAACAACAAGAAAAAACAAAGAAATTCTTACCTTGTTCGAGAAGAACAAAAAAAAGTTGATCCACTTGCAAACTTTCCCGTTAAAACATTCGCGGTCTTCATTTTAAATAAAAAACGAGACTCCTAAGAAGAGAAGGTATCCACAGGTGGTAGTAGCGGGTGGTAGGTGTATCTCTCCTTCACATCAAATACATCACAACACTATCACTCACTCCCTCTCTGGCACACAGATCTCCTCGTACAGCCACAGTCGAAAAGACGTTCAAGTCGTAGGTCGGGTCGACGCTCAAGCCCGTGCAACTTAAGCCACGCGCGAAAATCCCATAGGACGTAGCATAACTGGGTGCAGCGGGAACCGTACGTAAAAAGATATATTGGGCCCCACGAACCCTAAGCTTATTGTTAGTCAGCCGTAGTATCTTCCATTCAAAGAATAATTCGGACGCGCGAACGAGCTCGTCCCATAAATCACGCAAATATTTCGATAAATTAACAATTACGTATTAATTACCTAGGCTTCGTTTAATATAAAAAGGACAGTCCTGATTCGTGGCAATGGTTATTCTAATTACATAAAATTACAATGATTCAAGCTCGATTTTTAGAGTGTTAAACGAATGATGAAAGGAACAGAACGACTTATGAATTTCAATAAGCGAATTTTACTTGCATCATTTATGGGACCGTCTCTGCGGTAGCATACCTATGATCTGTGATTGAAAACTGCTGCACAGGCCCGGGCGAAGCCGCGGCAACTCAAGTCAAGTCGAGTCGAGTCGAGTCGAGAAATTCAGTCTCTCGTTCTCTCACGCACTCCCACTGGCTCGCGATTAAATTACACACGCACGTACGCATACACACGTCTTACGTCGTGTTCGTGTTCCGTATTCGTGACTGTATCTTGTGAGCGTGTACTGTAGTTGTATTTGTAATAGTATTATTATTAGTAATAGTAGTCGGTCGATCCGATCGGCTTCTCTCGCGACGGGAATACTCGTACGTATGTATTTATCCTAATAGAGACCGCAGCCACGGAGATTATTGGCGATAATGACGTCTGTGACTGCGTCGAACACGAATTGAATGTTGTTTGTATCGGTGGCGCATGTCATGTGGCAGTAGATCTCCTTGGTTGTCGACTTGTTTCTCGCCTCGAACTGCGCCTGGATGTACGCGGCCGCCTCCCCATACTCTTGCGCCCCTGTTTTCAAAAACAAACCAATACCCTCGTCATTTACATGTTCCCACTAAAACAGCGAAAATAATTGCAATATAAAACAGTCCTCAAGCAACAGAATTTACGACTCAGGTTTTTTGGAAGTTATTTTTATTCAAACAAATTATAGCCGAAAGCACAGTCCCCATTTTAAGACTAATAATTATTTTACTAAGTTGTTGAATTTTACTCAGTATAAGAATGTTAATTTGACTCGAGTATCCCCAGCAATTTGGCTCGGTGGTATTTAAAAATAAAATTTGTGAGTGTAAGAAGAGATCTAGAAGATGGATGACATACGCGATACATATTTAGAACGGTTTAGCTCAAACAAGAGAAGAGGTTGCGAAGGAATTCCAAGGACATGTACGTGCCACGAACTTTTTTTATAACAAACTTTCCGATTTTATTTTTAACACCACGTGCGCGTACTTATTAAACTGCCACGTTTTTCGTAAATATCTCTCAGATCATTTGCCAAATCGATTTGCGAATATTAGTAATTGATCAAAGAACTTTTAGTTATTAACATTTGGAGATCTTACCGGCGTATTCGGGGAAGCAAATGGTGAGCGGCGATTTTCGAATTTTCTCCTCGAACAGATCCTTCTTGTTCAGGAAGAGGATAATCGAGGTGTCGGTGAACCATTTGTTATTGCAAATCGAGTCGAACAGTTTCAAACTCTCTTGCATTCGGTTCTGTAACAAACAATCATGACACGCTTAGAGATACCGGATGATCGAACGGCAAATCGATACATATTTTTCAATGAATATCTCAACAGACTCTAAATAATTATTCTATCTTTTGTCTACTCGAGTTTCACTGGTATTCATGCGGTTCTTTGGTCGTCAAGCAAAGTTCCTCGGCTTCTTGAATTACTCTATTGTTATCATATCTATGTATACCGTGACGTATCGCGTGTCTCCTTGCGTTGCGTGTACTCATTGTCGGTGGCGCATTAAATCCTGCATTACTTTCACCGTTTCAGGTGTAATAGTCAAATATTTATGCGCTCGCGATAAGTCGTATAACATTTAATCGGCGAATTCAGAGAATAAATGATATTCTTCTAAATTCGGTTTCATTTAAATAAAACAGTGAAACATTTTGACTCTTACCGTCGTTTCGTCTTCGTGGAGGACTTGATCGTACTCGGACATCGCCACGCAAAATATGATCGCGGTTACGTCCTCGAAGCAGTGGATCCATTTCTTACGTTCGCTTCTTTGGCCACCAACGTCGAACAATCTGCGACAAACGATTGTCACCGAACATTGATAAATCATATAGAAAATTAATTTATTCTTAATAATTATCAGAATTAAACGAGACAATGAATTGATAATCGTAACTAAAAATAGCAGTGAATATAAAAAATTAGTAATGTAAACGAGGATAGGGAAGTGTAAGAGAATGAAATATTTATTAGAGCGATGATAGTAATTGAGAGAAGGAATGTTCTTGGCCATGTTCTCGGCTTCTTACAATTAAATTATCAAGCCAATGATTCATGCTCAATCGTTCATAAGTCATTGCTCTTTCTCTCCTACGTCTCTCCTTCTAATCAACCTTTGCCTGTCACTGACGCATCCGACGATTTCACGCATCTCACTGATTTTAGATATTTTACAAATTGCAAGAGGCTCCAGAATAATAAAATATGAATAAACGACGACTTCGGTTTTCTACATTTCTATGCAGCTTGCATGATAGCGAACAGGAAGCAAATTACATCATCTGCAGATTACAAGGTAGTTTCCTTATTATTATCATAACACCATAAAGAGATAGCGTGTCTTCCCTATCAGTGGGAGCTGATAAAAGACCACCTGTGTTCAAGCTCGATAAGAATCAACGAATCACCGCAAGCAAATGTTCCTACATATTCGACTCACTTGAAATTAAGATTCTTGAAGGAGAAATGGACCTCGACTATGCCCGTTGTTTTGACGCGAGTCCTCAGGATATCTTGTTCCGTAGGCTGATAATCCTTCGCTCCTAATCGGTCCAGATCATCCAGGAAACTGTAATCATAAAAATAAAAATCATCAGATATTATTCTATTTAAAGTCGATATCTATTTCATTGAAAGTCTTCGTATAATTATAGTTAGACCAATCGAATACCTGTATGAACTGCAACATGTACAATTTGATAA